CAGCCAGTCTCAGCTTCTCTATGCATATGCCATATGCGCTCATCTGTCTAATTGAGGGGGCGCATATGCACCCAAGCAGAGAGAGCACGATGCAAAAGCTGAGCTAAAGGAATTGTAACCTTCTTTTGCTTTAGTGTTACAACATGTCACCAACATAGCTCCTGATGCTTTCAAATCACTTCACATTCATTAGTGAAGCCTTTCAAAACCCTCATGAGGCAGGCACGTACTATACCCATTATTCAGGTGGATACTAGAGGCACAAAGAAATCAAGTTAGAGTTGGCTAGCTACACACTACTCTGATGGGTGTTTTATAAAGCATGTAGATAGCTAAACAACAAGGTCAGTGAGTCAGTGGCGAAGACTTCAACACTTAAACCCCACTTAAACACCAAAAGTCACCACACTCCCACCAAGAATAGAACCCAGGAATCCTGACCAGGAGCGGCAAAAGTTTCATAAAAGTGGTAGGGGCCACCAGTGCCTGAACCATGGCCAGCCCCCTTCTTCCTGAAGCCCCCGCTCCCTCACCCGTACAGCTGGTAAAATTGGCCTATGGCCTCCCACTTTTAAAAGTGATGGCACCATGGCCCCCTGCCCCATCCCGTTCTGGCGCCCCTCCATCCACTATGCATTTCTCCCTCTGTTTCCTGCATTTAATTTTTAACACCTCCTCCCCCATCCCTTTTAGAAATAAAGTTTCTTGGTTTGTGCATGCTCAGTAGAAGTATCTGAACACTGCAATGGAAAATTTCACCTGTATGGCCCACTGCGCAAGTATGCCTCGCAGCAGAACTGCTAAATGTGCTTCTACCATTCGGTCCCGCAGCTGCCACTATAGTTAAAAGGGACGGTATTTTCCACCAAGATGTAGGATGTGAACCACAAAGGGTGGGTAAAGAAAGCTGTAAATCATGCATCAGTAAGAGCTGCAGCCCGAAAGACTATGCCTCTAAATGGCACAGTCTTGCCCTCCTCCCTTCCCACACGTGCTAGCTGAATGTATTACTAGCCCCTGAGACTCTTGAAAAATCCCTGGATCTCATGTACAACAGAAAAAAAATGTTAGATTTGTTTGGTGAACTTATGTAAAATTGCAGTTGAAGGAAAATGTGATTCAACAGGATGCTTGTAAAACAGGCCGCTAGACTTTGATCTCACTCACATTAAAGTCTTTCCTCACTTCAACTAAGAAGACACCCACATCCAATTTTATAGCAAATAAAAGAATGAGTTTATAAACAGCAAGGGAGAACAAGAGCCTTGAACTGTACTGTAGGGGCTGAGAACTTTCATCGTATTTATCTAATAACAAACATCCACTGACAGTTATTTTTTAATCAAATCCTTTGCTGGTAAAGATGGTCAATAGGATTGAGTTCCTATTTATCCACACAGCAGGTACAGCACAATTAACATCAGTGTACATTTCCCTAGTTGTTGCATTTCACTATGATCTCCTATCTCTGAGGCCCAGAATCTAAAGTCTTACAAAATCTAATACACAGGGAAATGTTTTCACGGAATGTGTTTTCCATTTCAGTGAAAACTTTCACATTTAAACATTCCCTTGTACCAACGGAAAGAGAAACATAACAGCTAGTGTGTTGTGCCAGCGAACCAGGAGCAGAAAGTGAAACTAACTCTTGTTTCCATTATCAAGGCAGACTGAAGTGTAAAACACCATGTAGGTAGGGGGAAAATGCTGAAATGCTAGATTTTAATAATGTACAACTTTAACTTTAAAAAATTAGCAAAAAGAAAACATTTAAGAATCATACGGGGCTTCTATTCTTTTCAAAGCTATTTTTTTTCTGTGAAACAGCGCGAACTCTGCTGAATTATTATTCTTGGCAAGGCTACAAATATAACAGAAAATGGGTAACAGTCTCTTCCGTATAACGATGCTCAAACACGATATGCAGGGTTCAACAAAAAGACCTGCACATACATTACAGCATCCACACACAAGCTACACTCAATTGCTATGATTTCTATTGCTATCATGCATGAAGTGTGCCAGGCACTTTCCAAAACATTGAGGAAGACAACCCTGGTCCTAATCAGCTTTACCATATCAGACCCCACGGGGTCTTACAGGGAGCTTGCTGCACAGGTCTGCTCACATGGACCTCATTGCATACGGAATGGAAAATACATTAAAGAGATAATCTTGCCAAGCACCCAATTTAGGTAATCACATTCTGACAACCTCATTCTCTCCCCGTTAAGTTTCAAAATACTATTTGCTTCCTATCCTAAACTGCTGTGTATTGTTGCACAGCTGCCACCTTTAACATCAGAGGTGGCTGCAGTAATTCTTTGTTTTTCGCATTTTGTTTGCTGGTTTGGGTTATTTTGGGATGAACGATGCCTCATAATTCCCAGACTTCTAATTGGGAGGATTGCATCTCAAGGTATCGACTCACATATAACTGGAGAAGCCCTTTTGGAAAACTCATTGTATGAAAAAACAGCTTTGTTAGCTGTAGATAACAAGAGCGATTACATTATAACAGCCCTTTGACCTTCTTAAAGAAGAACATATCCCACATAGCTAAGACAAGCTCAGCTTGTTTGGCTGACAGAGAATGTTTTCATCTCAGTTAAGCAATACTAGTGTCTCCAAGCTTCCAAGGAAGCATTCCAACTCCTACGAAAGTATTGCAGGATAAGTAAGCTTGGCAGAATTCTTTAATGATTTCAGTGGAGACTCTCTTTATTTTAAGCTTTTTTCTATTTTTACTGATTTACATTTTTACAGTTGTGCAAAATTATGGGGTTTAAGGCTTTCGTATTTTTACCTATTGAAATTTTCACAGTTAGGGAAAATTGTGGGGGAGTCAGGCAATAGCTGGGGGAAATCAGACACTTATTTAACAAGAATACATACTTGGATTCAAAAAGTTAAAGCTTTGTAACAGTTAAATCACAAACAGTCACACATGTCAATAAATATCCTTAAATCAAACTGTAATAAGTTCTCAAGCAGCATTCTTACTTGGCCTATCTGTAAATTTTGATAAATATTGATTAAAATATTTTTTCCAATCAGTTTGTGTGTAGGTTGAAATTGATGTTTATCAACATTTACCAATAAAAATCCAATCCTTCCAAGCCTTTGTATGAGAGTTCTTTAAATTCCCCTGCTGCAAAATAAATTGCAACTGAAACAAATGCAATTACCTAGCTGATGAGGGGTTAATCCTCTTTTTTTTAATATAGAAAATGAAAATGTTATTACCACTGAACAAATGGAAGTCAGTAATTTTTGAGAGGATACAACTTCATACAAGCCATGAGGCAATCAGCACCTTGGACCTAAATCAAGGCCAGTTTTTAGCTACCCCATTCAATAAAGGGTCATTTTCTTCCTTAAGTTTCAGCTCTACAATTATACAAGAATGATATAGGTAATTAGAACCAAAGATATATATTAAAACTCATGTGAGGTATTAGAGGAACACTGCTGCAATTGTAGAAAAAAATGCAAGCTGTCAAAAGAAGAAAGGATTTTACATACTCCTCGATGTTTACTTAAACATAGAAATGTCATGATTTTAACTTTTTTACTTTAAGTAGTTCAAACATTCCACTGCAGTATAGGAAGTACTAGCACAATAACACTGCCCTAAGGAACAGGAGCCAAAAGGAAACTGACCTGTCTAGTGTAGCCTCTAGGCTGAGCAAGATGCAAAAATTAACCTAACAGCATGAGAAAGTAAAGAGTAAATACAATTTTTCAGTTCTTATTTTCAATGTCTCTAACATGATTAATTGCAAGGACAAAGATGCATTTTTAAATATGATTTTTATCTTGACAGCACAACCCTTTTTAGAGTTATTTTACAAGTTACTTTACAAGATAACTTGATGGTGACAGTTTTCCCCCTTAAAACATCTAGATGTGTTCTTGTTTGACAAATAACAAAAACAGTGTATTACAATTCTAAGCCCTTTAAATGTTCTCATTAGGTTGCTGAAATCATAAATTCGGTGTAATCCAACAGACCATACTTTTTTTTCTCGGGGGTGGCATATTATAGCTACATTGCGAGCTCCTCCACGCAGGGATGTTGTTGTTTTGGGTAGGTCTGTAAAATGCTGTGTACACTTGGGGCAGTATATAAAGAATATAATATCCACATTACCATAATAATCAGAGCTCCTGCAACAGAAGCCAGTTGCACTCCAAAAAAAGGACCAATATACCTATCAGGAAAAGTAGATACTTCTATAATCGTATAGAAAAAAGAACCACAGCTAGGTCTTGTTTACTCAGGACTATTTTCAAAGCGCTCAAAGCCCAGCTCTAGGTTACAAATAAATGTCAAATTCTCTTGGTACTGAGATTTGGTGTAACAGATTATAGACACCATACAGCCTAGTGCACTCCTGCTTCTTGTTTTGAAAGATTTTGTCTGCCTGCAAGGACACATGGATCCTAGCACCTTTCAGAAAGGTGACAAATAAGCCTACAGCTCTGGTGGGAGACCAAAACCAAAAAGCTTCTGTTTATACCAAAACACATGTAGCCTACAAAGCTCTTGCAAGGGGATGGGACTGCTATCAGGCCAACCATCCGCTGTAACCCCGATTCCTCAGGGAGGGCTGGAAATATCTTTGTTCCGGTTCATGCTGATTATCCCATCAACAGTGCAACCCACGCACATCCTACACCCCAGCCGCGTACAGCCCCCCAAGGCGATGAAGCATACATCACTACATTGCACCCCTAATTCCTTATACCTCCCCAACCTTTGCACCCCCTCTCTGTACGACACCCCCCCCGTCCCATCCCCTGCGTAGCTCATTACAATCTTCTGCAGCCCACGCCGTGAGCAGCGTCTCCTTTGCACCCCATGGTCACCCCAACTGCAGCTCCCCCGACCATCTTCTGCAACCGCTGTTGTATCCCCCCACCGCGGCCCCTTTGCAAGCACCAGTCCAAAGCAGTGAGTTCCTTGCCTCTGTGCAGCTCTGACCCCGCCCCGTTACCTTCTCCTCGGGTTCCTGGGCCCCGTCTAGCTCCCGGCCGAGCCTCTGCCTCAGCTCGCTCATCTTAGCCCGAGGCCGCGGCGCCTTGCGCTCCGCTGTCCGCACCCGCAGCTGCTCCCGGTGCAACACCTCCGAGCGCTGAAGCACGAGACCAGGCGGCAGCAGCGTGAGCCGCCCCGGAGTTCCATGGGGGGGCCGGGAGGGGGGAGAGAGAAGCCGAACCAATAGCAGGCGCAGGAGGGGGAAAGTGGGCGTGGCCACCCATCTTTCTCCGCTAGCCTCATTCTCAATGCGGAAGCCCTCTCTCGGGCGGGCGCCCCGCCCATGTGTACCCGGACGTGGGCAGCTCTCCTGCCGGGGCCGCCATGATTGGTGTACGCAGTGGCGTACATGGTGCAGTAACTCATGGGATTCCCACACACCAGAGACAGATGGAGGCATGGGAAGAGGGGGCCAGGCAGGCGGTGGTGCAGTGCAGAGCTGCTGGAATAGGGGTGTTGCTGCACCCCTTGACCTGAAGTGGTTTCCATCATATACAGGAACAACAAGGAGTCTGGTGGCACCTTAAAGACTAACAGATTTATTTGGGCATAAGCTTTCGTGGGTAAAAACCTCACTTCTTCAGATGCATAGCGAAGAAGTGAGGTTTTTACCCATGAAAGCTTATGCCCAAATAAATCTGTTAGTCTTTAAGGTGCCACCAGACTCCTTGTTGTTTTTGTAGATACAGACTAACACGGCTACCCCCTGATACTTGACATCATATACAGGGTTTACAATTTGCTTCTTGAGCTCCCCACTATACAAATTTCAGAGTAGCAGCCGTGTTAGTCTGTATCCGCAAAAAGAACAGGAGTACTTGTGGCACCTTAGAGACTAACAAATTTATTTGAGCATAAGCTTTCGTGGGCTACAGCCCACTTCATCGGATGCATAGAATGGATCAATATATAAATTGTTCCAGTGCCCCTGCTGCAGTGTGCTGCGTCCTTGGCCCCCTCCCCAGGAAAGGGATGTCATTACCAGCCAAAGACTCCCCCTCTGCACCCCCACAGTCGCTAATGCCATGCAGAACAGGCACTGGGACTGGGGTTACAGATGTATCCTAGCCTGCATAAACCACAGTGTATCTGCGCAGGCAAAGCTGGACCCTGCAGAGAGGCACAAAGGCCAGGGTTTGGGGTGTGAGGACAGAGTCCCAGGCCAGAAGGGACCAGTGTGATCATCTAGTCTGGCTTCCTGTATAGCACAGACCAGAAACCTTCTCCACAATAATTCCTAAAGCAGATCTTTCAGGAAAACATCCAACCTGGATTTAAAAATTGTAAGTGATGGAGAATCCACCACTACCCTTGGTAAATGTTTCCAATGGTTAATTATGCTCACTGTTTAAAATGTACGCCTTATTTCCAGTCTGAATTTGTCTAGCTTCAACTTCCAGCCATTGGATCTTGTTAGACATTTCTCTACTAGAATGAAGAGCCCATTATCAAATATTTGTTCCCCATGTAAGGATTTATAGATTGTAATCAAGTCACCCCTTTATTGTTAAATAGATTGAGCTCTTTGAGTCAAACACGATAAGGCATGTTTTCTAATCCTTAAATCATTCCCACGGCTCTTCTCTGAATGCTTTCCAGTTTTTCAACATCCTTCTTGAACCGTGGACACCAGAACTGGACACAGTATTCCAGCAATGGTTGCACCAGTGCCAAATAGAGGTAAAATAACCTGAGTTGTTCAGCATCCAATGAACAACAGATTGGTGGGGAATGAGGACTCTGGAGTTTTACAACTTGGAAAATGTTAAAGGTTTTGCAATTTAAAAGAAAAGTGGCAGGTGATGGTGCATTGGAGCTGCCGCTGATATTGACATTGTAATGCAGTTACTAACCTGTGTATCAAGGGTCTCTACCGGTGAGGCTAGGCTGTATGTTACAGGCCTTTAACTGGTTTCAAGTAAGGAACAATGTTTAACTCAGGGGGGCTTGTGCTTTTGTAGGAAGTGAGCTCAGTGATATTTTGAGTGACCACACAGTGCAGCATCATGAAAACCAGAAAGTTCCTGGGAGGCTACAAATTGATTACATCACCACAAAAACCACCACAATCAATGCAAGTTGGCAAGCTCAACAGCTTGACCAATCCATCCCATCTAGTAGCCCAGAACTGCCATAGGGCCTTCAGCTCATCAGAACGCCGCACTGCCACAAAACCTTCAGGACTCCAGAGTTCCACCCCATGACTGTCGTGAAACCTTCAGAGCTCCAACATACCATCCTGCCACTGCAAACCCTGCTTTCCCATTCAGTACCACCAAACCACCCGGGGGGCCCGAGCTTCCACTTATCGGCCCCTATGCAAAAGGGGTGCACGGGTGCACATCTGCCCCGGAACCGTCGGGGCCCCAACATTCCATTCGGCAGCCCCCCACATTTGCAGCGGACCCTACAGAGTCCTGATGTTCCACCCAGCAGCACCCCCTGCTCCACTCCTCCGGCGGCTCCAAGGCCTACAGGTCTCTAAATATTCCACCCAGAAGCAATCCCCCAAATGCCATGGGAAATTCAAGGCCCCCACATTCCACCCACCTACTGCTGTGGAACATTTGGGGCCCCAACGTTCCATCTAGCCCCTCCCATGGAACTTATGGGGCCCCAACAGTCCATCCAACAACTGCCATGGAAACCTCGGGGCCTCCGCATAACATCGAGCAGCCCCCACCCCCTTCTCAACTCCCCCGACCACTGGGGCCCCATGGCTCTATCTGACAGAGGGAGACGGGTCGGGACGAGGCAGCAGAAGAGAAGCTGGGAGGAGCCGTGGGCACTAGGGCGGAGTCCAGTGTTGAGGAGAACAGCGATTGGCAGGTACGTATGGACAACGAGAGCCACGAGTTGATTGGTCGTCGTACAGTAAGTGGTGGGCGTGGCTCCTATTGTTACGCGTCAGTTGATAGGCAAGCTTAGGGCGATGTTATCTACCTAGAGATTGGTCGAGCACAGGCATGTGGGCGGGATTTCTGACGCTTCCATGATTAGCGGGTGTGCTGTCAAAGGGGCGGAACTACCGGTATCACGGGGGCGCTAATTGGTGAGGGAGCGGCGTGTAGGCGAGGCTTCCGGCGTCGACCTGTCTATGATTGGTGTAGCGCGACGTGTGGGCGGGGCCAGGACTCGAGGCCAGAGGCGTTATAAGAGCCGCCGTTTGGCGCGCAGTGGAGGGTCTCTGTGTGTGCGGAGCAGTGCGGCGCTGGGTTTTGTGGCCTCTCCCCCGCTGACAGGATGTTCGAGGCGCGGCTGGTGCAGGGCTCGGTGCTGAAGCGGGTGCTGGAGGCGCTCAAGGACCTGATCACCGAGGCCTGCTGGGACCTGGGCTCGGGCGGCATCAGCCTGCAGAGCATGGACTCCTCGCACGTCTCGCTGGTGCAGCTCACGCTGCGCTCTGAGGGCTTCGACACCTACCGCTGCGACCGCAACATCGCCATGGGGGTCAACCTGGCCAGGTAGCGGGGCCGGGGGGGAGGGTCAGTGCCCTCAGCCGCGGGCAGAGCCGCGGGGGGGGGGGGGGCTGGCTGGGGCGGGGGAGCGAAATTCTCCGGGGGGGGGGGCGGGGGAGAGTGGTGTCTCGCGCCGTTTCTCTAGTGCGCGCTGGCCTCTGGTGGAGGTGACGTCATTTCGGCGCCAGTCGTACAATGCACCGGCGCGCTGGCGGGAAAGCTGCACGTGGGGGCGGGGCCTATGGTCCCCGACTGCCATGGCTTGGCCAGGGCGCGCTGGGGCTAAGGGACCTGTGGTTAGTGGCGTCCGCCCAGGTCCCGTCACTGCCGTGAGCGCGGCCCCAGTTATGGCATCTCACCTGCTCCGCATGCTCCCCCCACTTGCGGCGTTGCGCCCTGTATTGGCGGGTTGAACAGCACCAGAGCTGTCCCGCAGCCATGTGAGCGTCGCAGGAGCTGATGTTGACGTTAATGCGCTGGAGGCAGCTGCATGAAATTGGTGTGTGAAACAGCCCCCCAGATTTTTTTGCAAATATCACTTTAGTGCAGTATAAGTGACCTAGTAATCAATTCTCTTGTTCTTTCCTAGTATGTCCAAAATACTGAAGTGTGCTGGCAATGAAGACATCATCACCCTCAGAGCAGAGGACAATGCAGATACGCTGGCTCTGGTATTTGAGGCACCAAGTAAATATCTTGACTCCAAATTATTTTAATATTAACATACAAACTCTTCTTTAATTCAGTTATGAAGCAGAATTGGGGGTGAAATCTTGTAACTCTGCATTTCAGAACAGCTAATCAGTGCCTTGGCTTGCTTTGCTGGTCCAGAATTAAAATATGTGCATATCTTTGAATAATCAGTCACTATTTAACTTTATTAAGCTTTATGCTTTGAGTAGACTTCAGTGGATATTTGTCTAAAGAATAACTGTGGCATTGGGGATAGGTTTTTTCTTGGTGTCACTTTGTGACTAATTGCATCTGATTTCTTTATCAAATTAAGACTACACTGAGGAAACCTGGGACAGAATCTAACAAACAACCCTAGCTTTAATAATGTTTTTGAACAGTTCGGGTCAAATACATCTTGTCTGATTGTTTTTAGATCAGGAGAAGGTCTCTGATTATGAGATGAAGTTAATGGATTTAGATGTGGAACAACTTGGAATTCCAGTAAGTAATTTTGTCTCCACTGCTGACCTAAGTTAAATTATTAGGTTTTACAAATAAGTCAAGAACTTGAATGTTTAGGTGTCATAATGTTTTTTGACTAGCTTCCTGTTAGGAAATGTAATAAACCTAAACTTTATTTCAAGGCAGACTGTTTCCCAACAAAGCTCTCATTAAATTTCAGCAGAAGCCTTAGACTTGTTTCTGAGTGGTATTTTTGGCTTAAATCTGCAGTATGACACACACACTGGCTAATATATATACAAGTGACAGAATACAAAAGATTGTTCTGATACCGTTAGAAACTATATCTAAGGTTGTCTTCTCACAGGAACAAGAATACAGCTGTGTAGTGAAAATGCCTTCTGGTGAATTTGCACGGATCTGCAGAGATCTCAGCCATATTGGAGATGCTGTTGTCATCTCTTGTGCAAAAGATGGTGTAAAATTTTCTGCTAATGGAGAGCTAGGAAATGGAAACATCAAGCTGTCACAGACCAGTAATGTGGATA